ATTTCCAAACGATTTTAACTTTACATAGACACAACAAAATATCTATGGAAACAACTCAATCCGTTCTCTAATTAAATAGACATGAACACTTTTAAAAAACTTAATTTTCTAACAAATAAGCAGCAACAGGATAGTAACTCTAAATGTATAATAAAGTTTAGAGGATTTCGTGCAGCAAATTATATTGACTTTGACAATTAAAATAGCTAGTATCGCGTTTGGTTACTTTAACTCAACACTGTGGGCCATCAATTGAATCGTTTAAAAGGTTTTAAACGCATATTTTAGTTCGTTTGAGGCGTTGTTGCTGAGTATTCGGTAAAACACGTCATGTTGCACTGGATTAATCACCTAAATAGATTTTATTACCGCAAATATTTACATTTTGTGCAAAGTGATGTCTGTAACTGACGCTCCAGTTTTATTTCAGAGAGCAAGCAGTTGCTTCTTCGTTCTTTATTTTATAGCTTTAAAGAATCGTCGTATATTATGTTTTTCAATGGACTAAACTAAACATTTCCACGACTACATAACTATCATTAAAGTTTATATCAGTTTAGCTCTTTTCCAACAAGAAAATTGAATCTAAGTTATCAGATCATCAGCCTTTAAGTGCCCAATGCTGAGAAAAGCCCTTTACACACAGGGAGAAGGTTTGAACATTAATTACCAAGCTTGCTCAAGGCGAATTGGCGATTTCGAAATTATAAGTCCGGACTTCCTCACGATGTTATCCTTCACCAGTTTCACTGTCAGTGGTCTAAATAATCATACAAAGTACATATAACTCGGGATAAGTCACATTGGTACTTTCCAGGTTTTGAACCCGCATGCGTGAGACCCTAAATCTCCGGACCACCACGATGTATAACTACATGGAATAACTATTCTTTTTCAGGAATCTTTCAACAACGTTTGATGTAATTTGAAATATTTATGAAGGGCAAACAGAAGCAGATAAATCCTTTAAAATGCCACAATACCCCACATCAAGGTAGCAGAACCACAAGGCAATTGCATACCTTGCATTACTTGCATACATATATTTACATATGCATGTCAAATACTGAGTCTAAAATCCACAATAAATCGGTAATGCCTAAAGGTTAATTTATTAAAAACTAATTTTGAAATGACACCAGCTTCCCTAATTCTATTAATTTCATCCGATTGCACAATTTTCACGCGTGTAACGTGCCATAGTACAAACGTATCATACCGCCCACCTGTGGATGCACCCTGAACTTCTAATAAAATCTCATAAGTATAACATTCTGTTTGGGGCATTTTCGCTCGTCATTAGGTACTTTCGAAGCGGGCACTGCAGCCTGTTGTGAAAGAGGCCACACCGCAAAAATCGTGACAAAGCAATATTTTTTTATTGCAAATCAATGCTATCCAATCGTTTTCCGGAACACACAAAACAAATTGCTAGTCAGCGAAAATCCTATCAAAGCTATTATACCTAGCGACACAGGTACGAGTAGGCACGTATGCGCAACATTTTGTGGCAGTTTTGATATTTCCACAACTGACAAGTATTGAGGTGTAAATACAACCTTTGAATTTTATTCCAACCAAGGCTTTTACAGATTTACTTTATCAAACAGCATTCGTTACGTTTTGTTTGACAATACCACAATATCTGCTTTTTCATTTTTTTTATTCTACTGAAGTTATAGTATGTATGCAGAAAGTAATAAAAAAGGGGAATATTTTGAACATTGCTGAAGATTATAACATTTTTTTCTGTGAGTCACAAAGTGACTTCAAACAATCATACAATTGATCTACAAAACCTTGTATATATACCAAAGAGGTACAACTTGATAATTATTACTACCATTAAATATACCTGCTGAAGGTCACAGAAGTGTGACAGGAACACATCAATCTATATTTTGTGCGGCTATAATTAATTTAACTAGCGGCTGTTAGCCTCCCTTATAGAGCACAGTCATGTCACGCAATGACGCAAACACCACAATGGCAGGCTTTGGCACGTCACACTATTCGGAACAGTCCAGCGCAGTAATTACATTAACCAAATTATACTACAAAAATAACTCGCTAAGAAAAAATTTTACGCGCTTGGATGGTGCTCATGTCGTCGAAAAAGTGTTAGTAAACTGCAACCCACAGTATATATAGAACCCCTTCAACAAGTCCAAAATTTTATAAGCTTATTTTATTTTATTTGTGATTAGTTAGATAATTTGCCATGTCTGTTTTACTGGAAGAACAAATTGAAAACTAAGTTTGCAATTGTAAATTTAAAAACTAATAAGAAGCAATTCAACAATCAGTGACTTTACCATCATCTGGACGTGCTGTATTCGGTTTTTAGGACCTTTTAATTAATCATGAACATCACCTTCATAAAAATATTGGTTAGGGTAAAAGAAACCGATGAGGCCCTTAATGATAATTATAGATTAAAGTATTTGGTTGCCAATGTCAAATAAGCTTAAAAAAATTTACATGGATACCTCTTAACACGTTTGTAAATTTACATGAATTTGCCGTGAACTATTCACGGCAAATTCATTTCTGTCATTCAAATGCTTAAAAGGGAAATGCTGATTATTCAAACAAACAAAATAGGAATAGAACATACAACTGCAATTGGTGTAATTGAAGTTGATTATAAAATGATACTAAATTGAAATAAGGTAGTATTAAGTTCGTAGGAAACCGCTTAAATCAGAGCTACAACTAAGAATTATCTAACATCCAAGAAGCACGATCTTGACCGAAGACAGCTACGATAAATACTACCTCAGACAACCGAATGACGATGGGAACTAAAAAATACAATGGACTTTACCTACTCAAAAAATCTTTACATAATAAACCAGCCATGAAATGTATTTAATTCCCAAATACGAGTAAGCAATTTGCGCACAAACAAACAGCATGTTGCTAACGTCTTAGACATAATGTGATTACGATTTACTCGAGAACATTTTTCTATGCCGATATGGGAACCAAATAAAAACAGCTTATAACATCAACTGCTTATATTCACACACGTTTATGAGTGCGAACGAAAGAAAATAGGCTCAGAAACACCTTTCACTCCGCTCCACAATTACGCAGTTGTTAGATCTAAATGAAACCGCATTGTATCAGTTATTCTTGTTAGATTCTGTTGAACTATCCATAGAAAAATATTCATCAAAAATGTATTCCTTGTAACCCTCAGAGTTTTAACGCCTAATGTAATTTGACTTCAATCCATACTAGAGAATACTCCCATTAACTCAATTAACCTCTCGTTTCTTATGCTAGGGAGTCTAATGGTCACGCCGCTATTTTAGAGGTCATTCTCATTCATTGAGATCAATTAGTTGAAGCCCTGTGGTAAGTCACGGTGTAACATAAATCATTATTTCTTTAGTACAATAGATTGAAGTTCAAAGTACTGAGTATTCGTTTGATGGTCAGTTAAAATATCTTGAAGTTTATTGAATGTGAAGTCGGTTTGTGTGGACTGTGCGGCCGTCTCCCAAAACATTATTCATGGATGTACGTGTCTATCTAATGACGATGACGAGTATTCGACCGTAGCGAGGGAGTTCGCTCGTCTGTCTTGCATTTGTGTGACCATCAACCGTGAAAAAGTCATCCATTTACATCAACTTCATTCTACAAACGCCACTGTATTTGAATGCAAATAATTTGTTAAAGTTTTAACAAACTCTACGCTGGTCGCTAACTCGTGTTATGCAAAATCTTTGTAACAAGATCCATTGTTTGCGGCCATTGAAACTGATATTGCGAAAGAATGCCATCGACAGCAGTAACATCTTATATATTATTTGATAATTAGTCATTGTAATATCTTCGCGAACGAATTTAAATTTGCAGTATAAACAAATAGTAAATGATCCAAATGAAGCAACAAAATGTATATTTATCAAATTACAAGCAATTTTTCCTTTATCATAATTGAATTGTTTTGAGGAAATTGATGTCATAGCAATGAAATAGTAGTAATTTATTATAGTACTCGCTAGAAGAACAGACCAGTAAATATCGCTTTCAAGAGCAGATAGATACAAGTTTAATTGTTGGAATTTTCTAGTCTTCATCACGCTATACAAATGCATTTAAACCAAACTGACCATACGATAAATATTAACAAGTCGCTTTCTCTTCATTGTAAAGTACATATTTTAATAGCTTTTGATATAGTTTAAGTCTTCACTCACTTGTTTCTAATTAAGAACCCAATCAAACTTCCCTAAAAGAAATTTGATTCATTTTTGGAAATTGTTCGGAAAAGCCAATGTTATATTTTTTTGACGAAACCGATAATTTAATACCTGGTGTCCGTTATTAATCGGCATCATCTGCTGAGTTAAGTATGATAAATAACTGTTACAGTATGTGTATTTTCTCATTGTTTGGATTCAGCACAATGCGTAGTGGTTTCAGAAAGTGCTCCCGCCGTCGATACTTGGCAGTAATTTCTACGTTGCTATTGTTGCGAGCCTCGCTTTTGTGACTTTTGTGTATCACATGAATGACATGACTACGTGTGTCTCCCATTTTCTCAGCAATACAATTTTACTACTTAATGTTGTACATAGAGAAAAAATATGAATTATACATATATAGAGCATGTTTAACACTTTACATTTTAATATAACTTGAATCCTTAAACTCTAATAGGTTGTAGCATCTCTGCAAATGAGGGCAGTGACTAAAATGTACAGTTTGTTAGGCTTATCAAAAGCGGCGCAAACAATTAACGGATCATAAATTCATATCGTGACTAATAAGAGTTGTGCGCTTTAATAAAACTTTGATAACATGTTTCACTATTTGCTGTACACTTGCAGAGTTACTGTTGATATTTTGATAATAAACCGGCAGCTTTTCCGACAGTCTCGCCGAGGGAAATAATTCTAAGAGTAAAATTAACAACGCGCCAAAAAGTGCATCAAAGTATACGTTGCATCCGACTGCCTATTCCAAACAAGAGTCTCCGTTACCTAGAAAACAATAGCACATCTCACAAGCACACACACTGCATTCGTCGGAAAACGCACATGCACAATTTTCCGAACACCGATTACGGACACTGCGTCGGTCGCGTCAGAGCAAAGGGCGGCACGTACAAGCGCTGCCTCTGCGCGCGATAGACTGACGGTTCTCGGGCGGACTTGTGAGCGAGCGGGACGCGCGGCGGGCGTGCCAACACGCTGCGCGCGCATAACGCCTCTCTGTCCTACGCCCGCAGCACCTATACGGTTGTCTCGCTCGCACACGCTCGAGCACACCTTTCGTTCCCGAGACAGGTGTTCCTATCCCTGTGTGCGTCCAGATATGGCTGGGTTCGCGTGTATGCGCGCTTCCTGCGGCGGCGGATCATTTTTTATGCCCGGCAGAAATTATAAAAAGTAAATGGAGGGAAAATTAAATAAAACGTTTACAATAAAGCGTTTTCCTGTGCGCTTTCAATGATTCAGTGTGCGCTATTTTTCAGGGATGGATATCATCAGGGCACACAAACAGAGTGATTACAGAGCTTTTTACGGATGTTTGAGTGATGTAGGCGGTCGTAATTAGGCACGGGGCGGAAAGGTATATTGATTGCGGTGACGCGGCTTTGTGGAAAAATCGATATTTTTGTATTAAAGGTGGCACGCGATGTGTCCGGTCCGTGCGTCCGTGGATGAGTAAACCTTCGTATCGACCCAACGCCGACAACTTTCGACCCTAGTTTATGGCGCGCACTATAACTTGAGCCACACTTACCTATGAACGTTATCGGGAACGCTTTGGCTGAACGACCTCGTCTTTCATAAAATCCCGACCAACTTGAGCTTTAAACCCCCGTTCTAAAATATCATCGATATTTTAAGGAAAAATTTGATAGATTCAAAACAAAATTTCCTCAAAACTCAATTAAATTAAACCGATATCGATAAACCCTCCCACGTCTGAACGTTTCTAATTAACATAAAAAGATCCAAAAGTTTGGAACATAATGGCAGCTATTCTTTTTAATAAACTTAATTCCTACTACACTACAAGTTATTATCGTTTTTTAACAATAAACCGAAATCAGTATTGAATAAGTTTCAAATTGAATTAAATAAGAATAACATTGCTATAAATTTTCCTGTTTCCACGTCAAATACAAATTTTATTTAAATTATCTAGTGTAGTGTAAGAGTTCCATTCCCTTATGTTTAAAATATTGCATTATTAATTTATTGTTTAAATTAAATTAAATTTATTGTTGTATTGACAAAAAAATTGCAATATTTTTATCTGTCTGTTTTGAAAATCTGTTTTAAGTAAGCATGTACTTAGAACAACCCAAATTTTTTACGTATATCATATCGTTGCTACTTTTTACTTAATGTGACGTCATAAGCAAGTAAGTATCCTAATGTAAAGCATTTAATAGCAGCTCGCTCCCTCCCTCTTCTACTACTTATTAAATTACTGGCTTTAAACCCTGCATATCTTGTATTAATATTTAAGTTTTATTTCAATGCCAAGTACTTATTATGAGAAGAACATTGGTCGAACCTAATGCAATACTCCAAGTTCATTTCTTTCTTCTAACGTTAATTAAAACTCACTTAACACAATTTTATACAATCCAAGAGTACGTTCCTAAAGCACCTATCTATGAGTACACTAGCCAATCACAAACCTTAGTAACAATTTTCCCTTTCACCGCATTCTTACAAGTCCATCTTAGAGGGTCAATGTAGTCCACACTTGAGCCTCAATGGAGAGATTAGGTCAACTTTGATGGACCCCTTGTATTCCGATACAGGATAAAGTGTGGTGAAAATGAGTGGCTACATGACTTTGGCCCATTGAACTTATTTAAGATACTTCCTATTGCCTTTAACATACTGCTAAAATTGATTTATATGAAAATGTCATACCAAACCGGACCTTTAGCTTAGTACCTAAGGACCAAAATAAAAAGGGCGTTAGCTTAAAATCCTTAAAAGAGATAAGTAGTGGTAAACTTAAAGTGCACTTACTTATCAACAATTATGTTTATCGTATTAATAAGGAGTATTTAAGTGCAGCTGATAGGAAACCATGTATTTTGCATTATGGAGTTGTCACACAAATACAACCAGGTGATGAAACTTATGATCAACGAGATAAGATTTAAAATAGAAACTAAGTTCAACAAGTCACGCTTTTTTAACCCCCATAGGGGTAGCAGCGATGCACATTTCTTATGTGTTACATGTCATTAGTTATGTTAAAAATCCTATAAGGGGGATACGACTATTATCATAAACCGGAAAAAATACTAAACACCGTAAATTTCTAAGCAATTTTCAAAGAATCGATAATGCATCACCAATACTCCATTTAAACCAAAAACCCTCTCAGTTCTTAAAGTTGATTATCCTATTTAATGAATCACCTAAATGTTAGCCTTCTTGATGTTGTTATCAGATGGCTACTAAGCCTCCTATCATATCAGTCCTTTAGTGGCAACAGTCGCCAATCGGCAGACGGGGGTCAATCACACACCTGAACGAACCTTTTCCTTCCGACCTCCGTGTACACTCAGTATGCGATACACAGAACTATTCGATACCATTGATTAGATTAATTTGTATACAACTACGGAACTAGGTGTATTAACTGCCTCTATCTATAAACCAAGTAGTCTAAGTTCGAATTCCAAGTTTAGGAGTTCTTGAGTCAAGCAAAAATTTGTGTTATGGAGTAAGAAGGCCTATATTTGCGGGAGACACTTTTGCGATTCATTTTTATAATATAGATGTACACAAAACCAAATAACAGGATTCATTGGCTGAGTAGCATGTGCTCAATAGGTTCCTTATAACACTAATAACTGCGAAATCTGTCACCGTAATTTTGCCTCAAATCTTCTTGATTAAAAAGTTGTGTCTAGGTTATAGCAACTACTTATTAAGAAACTAGCTACCGCCCGCAGTTTCGCTGTTTGAATAACCGTTTAAAGCGGTAATTCGACTAAAATACTAAAATCAAGTATAACTTAGCTATAGCTTAAATGTTCCTGACATAACATTGAAGTTATTTATCAGACAAATAATTTTGGAAATCGGACCAACGCGCAGTGGTTCCAAATACTACCCCCTATATAATATAAACTTATATAAACTAATATAAACTTAACAAATTTTACCTCTTTATAATATAAGTATAGATAATAAACAGCATAACCTACAATAAGCTCACTTTTGCCTCAAAATAGAAGGCATAATGTTACATGAAACGGACCAATTTGGACTTCTTGTTTACGCATACAGTGGTAGGGTCTTGTGGTTAACTTGGGCAGTGGCGAGACCGAAATAGATTCTGTGACTCTTGTGGCTTTAATCCATTAAACGTCTTTTGTACCATAACCCTCAGCTATTATAAAATGCTTCTATTACTATATATATGTAGGTAGGTATATGGTATATGCATAGTTTTCGTTGTTTGGTATGAAAATACGTTTTTTTTTTTTGTTGTCATTTTGGCTAGGAGATTAATGACTGAGGATTTGAAACCTGGCAATAATCAATGCGACTTTTCCACGTTATGTGCACTTTCTATGATTATTTAGACACCTGACAGATGGTGTCGGAATAAGTTTGACATCGCCGATTCGCCTTGAGCAAGCGTGTGTCTGATGAGGTGGTGAATGCTACATACCAAACAAAAACAGTATTAGAAAAATATCGTACTATACATCCTAAGCATCAAACTAACAATATCTTTACTTTTTATGTTTTGCTTTTTAGTTTACTTCTTGAAGTCGGTTTTTTTTTTGCTAAAGATTATTTTCTTACCTACATATGTTTACATACCAAATGACTTTTTTTGTAGGGCAAAATCATCATCATCACTTCGAGAACGAGGTGAATAGAAGAATTCAGCTAGGTTGGGCAGCATATGGAAAGCTGCGTCAAGTCTTCACGTCGTCGATCCCACAGTGCCTAAAGACGAAAGTCTTCAATCAGTGCGTCCTACCTGTCATGACATACGGAGCCGAAACGTGGACACTGACGGTGCGGCTGGTTCACAAGCTAAAAGTCACTCAGCGAGCTATGGAGAGGGCTATGCTCGGCGTTTCTCTGCGAGATCGAATCAGAAACGAGGTGATCCGGCAGAGAACCAAGGTAATCGACATAGCCCACCGGATTAGCAAGCTGAAATGGCAGTGGGCTGGCCATATTAGCCGAAGAACCGATGACCGTTGGAGTAGACGAGTTCTTGAGTGGAGACCGCGTCTCGGCAAACGTAATGTAGGACGTCCTCAGGCAAGGTGGAGTGATGATTTGCGCAAGATGGCTGGCAGGAGCTGGATGCGAGTGGCCGAAGATCGATCCCAGTGGCGTGCAATAGGAGAGGCCTATGTCCAGCAGTGGACTGAAAGGGGCTGATGATGATGATGATGATGAAAATCATCAAATGACTTCACTCGCCCAGAGTGAGGAGAAAGACCTGCAACCCTGGCTAACCAAGCCCCTTGCTAGGCTTTTTTACAAAGTTAATAGCATCAGGCTTAAAATGCTAAATTATACAAGAATATTTACCTTACATGACCGATAAACTACATAATAATAATTACATAAAAACCACTCACAACGACACATAAAATTATAAATTTTACCTACACACATTTATACAGATTAGGTATGTTATGTTCAATCAAAAATAATATTAATTTCCCTATGTCCATAATTAAAGCGTACAGATTAAAATTCATTGCAATTTCAGATATCATTGATAGTTTAAGTTTGAATTTTAATCACAGTTAATAATAATACTTCAATTCGAATTAAGTAATAATAATTACCGATATTAATTTATTATGGATAATCAATATGGTCTAACTTTAAAACCTATACTTAGTAGGTAGTACATTAGTGATAAGGTTCTTGTTGTGAAATACAAATCCAACGCTTCAGGAATAGGGTTCCACAAACGATATATTGAACATACATGTAATAAACTTTAATAGTATAAACGATTTCGATCTAAACTGACTGCAGTTAACAATTTTCCCACTCCAACAAACAATCAAAACACTCGATAAAACGTTGAAACATCATCAAACCTTACAAAACGACAATAAAGCAATCATAACAAATGGACGGCTTACGAATACG